TAAAGACCACGAGGTAGCTTTTGATACCATGACAAACTTTTGATTGAATGGCCTTCCCTTGAGGGATTCTTTGCACTATATAGGAAGAGTATTACCTTATATAATTATGATATCAATCTAAATATAATATAAGTAATTATCCTAGATATGGTTAATACGATTATTTACATAATCTTCGTGATCTTCATCAATCTTTATGATCTTTGTCGATCTCATTAATATCATCTTCCAGCTATTCTAACTGAGAAGGTCGTGGTATTTATACAAATGTAGGGCAAGGTGAGTTGAGAAGGTGTAGGACCTGCTGATGTTCCATCTAGACTATTCGAAGCAACTACCTAGCCTCTATACTAAGTTGTATAGCATCATCTATAGCTCATATATCTCTGTGCATACATCCACCTTATTCTCTAAGAGAACCAATATCCTATATATTCCTCAACTAACCTCTTATCTGGCTATAGATCAACTCATTGTCATTGGGGTCCAGCAGAATGAGGGAGATTAGATCCTCACTGGTTTAATCTTTAAAAGTGATCATGCTCTTATAACTACATCCATTACAACCTTTAAACATCGTTACACAACTTCAAGAGTAAAGAATTGCCAATGTTAATATGTTTATAGGAGGCATAAGAGCCGAGCATATAGGAATTGAAAAAGAACTAAAACTTTTATCAAACCCTTTCATATACATGTAAATTCTCCAAGTTGAAATCAAAGAGAAGATTAGAAGCGAAAGCATATCTTGATCCATAGATGTGATTGTTTGAAAGGGTTATGACATTTCAATTGATGCTTAATTTATTAGAAAATTATTCTATGTTGATGGGGATGCAGAGAAATGAAAATCACGTTCAATTAAGAACCATGATAAATAACTGTATATAGCAGTTATTATCTTTCAATTATTTTAAATTGGCCCCTCATCAATTTAAAATAATCCTCCCGGTCTCTACATTTTATTTCCATGACATTTAATACCCATTAATTCAAAATTAAATTTAATGGATCACTTTATTGTCTAAGCTTTAAAATAGTACCGCACATTTTAAAATATATACATGTGTAGCCCCATCCATTGAAATTTTTTCCAACAATCTCCCACTGGACCATACATGTAATATTACAAATGTGCACAACTTTATGAGCTCAAAATTTTGCTATCATTATTAAGGGTATTTTCAAACAATCTCATCTATCAATTATATTGATGTCTGATCAAAATGATTTTCGTCATATTTATCATGATTAAATCCATCAATGGTCCATGTATACCCATACAACCAAATGACATAGATCAATCATAGGAGAGTAGCATGGAAATTACATGTTATGTGATCCATACATATCTATTTTCAACTGGTCCAACCTTATTTCTTAACTAAATACTTTATTTCTATACAAAAATATATTCAAATACACAAATGTATCCAAGAACTAAACATAATGTAATGAGAATACAAACTCCCTAAAATACGATATCCTTAGGAAATACAACACCCATACGAGCAGCGTACTCCTAAAAGACCTTTGGTGTCAATCTGTTAATAAGCAGATCCGCAATCATAGAATTTGTCCCAATGCTCTATAGAAATATGTCCACTCTGTACTCTTTCCTTCAAAACCAGGCACTTAATGTCAATATGTTTTGATTTAGACGAGCTCCTGTTGTTGGAATACGGGACTGTTGAGTTATTGTCACAACATACCTTTAGCGGTCATTTGATGCCATTCAGAATGTGCAGCCTAATAGCAAAAATTTCGCAGCCATATTCCATGGTGAAATGTCACATAGCATGCTCCAAACTCTGCTGCCATGGTAGAAGAAGCTATGAGTGTCTACTTGGCACTCTTCTAGGAAATAGCTCTTCCAGCTAGCAAATAGATACAACCTAATGTAATTTTTTTACTGTCTTGACATCCAGCAAAATCAGAATCGGAATACCTTATGATCTCTAACTGATCCGATCTGCTATATGTGAGCATGTAATCCTTTGTTTTCTTTAAATACCTCATAACCCTTTTGGCTACCTTCCAATGATCCATCCCAGGGTTGCTTAAATATCTTCTTAGCATTCCAACAATGAATGCTATGTCTGGACGTGTACAAACTTGAGAATACATTAGACTCCCAATAGCTAATGTATAGGAAATCTTCTGCATTTCCTTAACTTCAAGGTCATTTTGCAGACATTGTTTGAGACTAAATTTCTCTCCCTTAGTGACAGGGGTCACCTAATTTACAGTCTTGCATGCCAAACAACTTAAGTCTTTTATCGATATAGCTCTTTTGTGACAATTCAAGAATACCTCGAGAGTGATTCTGATGTATCTAAATCGCTAAATTCCTTGATAAAAATCTCTTGATTTCGTGCAACATGCCTATATCATTAGTAGCAAGCAGTATGTCATTAATATACAAAATCAGAAAAATATGCTTACTCTCACTGAACTTGTGATACACACAATCATCAACGGCATTCATCTCAAAACCAAATGAAATAATTACTTGATGAAATTTGTGGTACCATTGACAGGAAGTTTGCTTGAGCCCATAGATGGATTTTTTTTAAATTTACAAACCATATTCTTTGGGTGTTTTGACATAAAGTTTTCTGGTTGCACTATGTAGATCATCTCATCAACGTCGCCATTGAAAAATGTTGTCTTAATATCCATCTGATATAACTCAAGATCAAAATGCGTAACAAGTGCCATAATTGTCTTCAATGGGTCTTTCATTGAAACCGAAGAGAAAGTCTCTTTGAAGTTAATGCCTTTCTTTTGGGTAAAGCATTTAGCCATAAGACAAGCCTTATATCTTTCCACATTACCTTTTGAATCTCTCTTGGTTCTAAAAATTAATTTGCAACTAATGGGCTTCACATCTTCGTGTAACGGGACAAGATCCCAAACTTTATTGCCATGTATAGACTTATACACCTTATTCATAACATCAATTCACTTTTGAGAATGGTCTGATGGAAATTGATTGGATCATCTTCCACCAATCCATTATTTTCCTCATATTCTGGGAAAATACTATAAAATCATCTTAAATATCATTTTTCCTTTCTCTCGTGGATCTCCTTAATGGTATTGTTTCTTGAGGTTGTTGAGTTTGTACTTCTGGAATAATTACTTCATTTTGGATGGGATATTCCTCAACATTGTCTTGTTGAGGTTCTGGATATACTTCTTGATCAATAGGTATAAAAACCTGTACATTATCAAAAGCAATAGTAAGAATTGAAATCGATCATTTCTCAACTTCTTCCTCAAATACAATGTCTCTAACCTTATTTCTACCCCAAACTCAACATCTTCAAAAAAATGTTGCAGTTCTCATTTAAAAAATTGACTTAAGTGTGGGATCATAAAATTTATAGTCCCTAGATATCGTTCAGAATAACTAATAAAATAGCTGCTCACTATTTTGGTTTCCAATTTCTTTTCATGTGGCCTATAAAGTCTAGCCTCGGTTGGACGTCTCCAAATGTGAAAATACTTTAGAATGGGCTTTCTGCCTGTCTAAAGCTTATAAGGTGTTTTGGCAGTTGCCTTAGTTGGTACTATGTTCTGAATATAACATGTTGTCTTTAATGCCTCTCTTCAAAGTGATTTTGGTGAGGTAGAATAACTAGTCATACTCCTTACCATTTCCTTAAGAGTCATGTTTCGTCTTTCAGCTACACCATTCATGCTAGGGGATCCTGACATGGTTTATTGTGGAACGATTCCACATTTTTCTAGAAATTTAGCAAATGGTCTTGGACATTACCTGAACCGTCATATCTGCCCTAGCATTCCCCACTACAGTTAGACCTAACGCTCTTTATCCTTTTGTTGAGTTGATTCTCAACCTCAGTTTTAAAAGCTTTAAACATGTCCAGACTTTCCATGGAAAAGATATAGGTACCCATACCGTGAATAATCGTTTATGCAAGATATAAAATATTGTTGATCATTCTAAGAAGTCATGGGGAACGGTCCACAAATATCCGTGTGTATCAATTTTAAGACATCCGAAGTTTTGTTAGCATCTAATCACCTTGTTTTGGTCTGTTTTCCCTTGATACAGTCAATACATACATCAAAATCCGTGAAGTCAAGGGAATCCAAAATACCATCTAACACAAGTCATTCAACTTCAACTTTTGAGATGTGACCTAAGTGCTTGTGCCATAATTTTGTTGAATTCTCTTTATTTAATTTGCGTTTAGTACCACGTAAATCAATATGCAATGTTTCATTTATGATACAATAATATCAAGCAAATATAAGTTATCATATATATATGATGAACCAGTACCAATAACATTAGAATTTAATAAAAAACTAAATTGATTTTTTTCCAAATGAACAAAAGTATCCAGATTTGTCCAACGAAGATACAGAAATCAAATTACGTCGAAAAGATGGTACAACAAAGGTGTCCTTCAAATCCAAATAATGACCAATTCCTAATAACAACCTAAAAGTGCTTATTACATCAACTTCCACCGATTTGTCATCACCCACATACATGTATCATAGAAACACTTATGTAAGTAGTAGTACCAGAATCTATTCACCAAGTGTTTCTAGGTACTAAAGCTAAATTATCCTCAAAAGAGATCAAAGTAAGAATTGTACTTTTCTTTGCACGCTAAGCATGATATTTGATATAGTCCTTCTTCACATGTCCAGTCTTATTGCAAAAGAAACAAGTCACTTTGTCTTCCTTACGTTTCTTTTGTACTAAACTCTTAGGAGAGCTTCATATTCCTTCTTCTTTTTTCCTTGCCTTTATTCTTAGAAGTGCTTGCCAAGTGAGCTCTTTCTATCTTTTCTTGCTTCAACCTTTTTTTCTCTTGCACACAATATGAAATGAGCTCAGTTAGAGATCATTTCTCCTTCTGGCAGTTATAACTGAACTTGAATTGATTGAATCGTGCAGGAAGCGAGATCAATACCAAATGTACGAGCAAGTCATCAGACAGCTCAAGCTTTAGCCCTTAAAGTTTAGAAGCAATGTGAGACTTCTCCATGATGTACTCCCTTATGTTCCCATTGCCTTTATACTTCATTGAAATCAAGCTTTGCAAAAGCATGCTTGTTTCAGCTTTATCGTTTTTCATAAAATGTTTCTTAATTTTGGCGAGGAACTCCTTGGCTTTAGTTATCCCTTTGGATACTACACCTCTAAATGCTTTCGAAATGCCGCGCTTAATGATCATTAGATTTTTGCGATTTGAGAGATCCCATTTTTTAGAGTTTCTCTTTTCATCAGGTGAACTTTCTTTCGTAAGAGGAGTGGGTTTCTCAATTTGAAGCGCAAGGTCTAGATCCATGCAGCCAAAAATAATCAATATGTTCTCTTTTCAATCCTTGAAGTTTGTCCCATTAACATTTGCAGATATATTAGTAGCAGATGAATTAGCTGTATAAAGAACAAAAATAAACAAATAATCATGCTCATATCAGTATCCACATTTAATAATCAATAAATTCAAATAATGGTAAGCCTCCATCTCAAGATACATAGTGCAACATTAATATCAAGACTTTGAATAGTAGCATTAATTGCAAGTGGTAATCTTGGTATAGTGATCAAACATTAACAATAACACCTGTCAAATAATAAACCCACCATTGGATTGATTTATTATTCACATGGAAACCTTATAATTGTTACACATTCACCACCACAAGTGTGTATGTAATTCGGCCAAATATTAACCTTTATTTGGGCCGACTAATACCCACTGAACAAGTACACACACAACATCTAAACATCCCAAACAAACCAATCTATACAAGGGAGGTCACTTTGGTGACATATTATTTCAATTAGTTTATTTAAAATACTAGACAATCTTAATTTATCATAAATGATTTACCAAAATATTTGAATTTGATTGTCCAGCACTCAAAAGAGTCCTCAGTACCAAAATATGAGAAAGTGAATCACCAATTTTGCATTATTAAACTTCTTTTGAAACTTTAGGGACCTAAGGTTTAATAATTCAAAAGTTTAGGCGTCAACATTTGAAAATTTTAAAACTTTGAGGGCCACTTTGATTTAATTATAAATATTGAGGGTTTTAATTGTAAAATTCAGAACTTTAATGGCCCAAATGAAATAATTTTCAAACTTCAAGAACTGAATTATTAAACCCAGAACTTTAAAGGTCTAACTTGGATGGATTTCAAGCTTTAGGGACTGAAATTTAAAATTTACAACCCTAACCATAATCTTTATTGCAAGCAAGGGCATGAGATTACCAAAATTGCACCTCAGGCCCCCGCCCTCCAAAAGTCCATCACTGATCTCTATTTCTCTTGCCCTAGCCCTGCTGCTGCAAAACGCAATAGCCGCTGCTTCATTGTAGTTGCTGTCGGCCAGATCCATTTATTTCCATTTTTTTTAAAACCCAAAAAATCCATAAACAGAAATTCCAAAAAAAAAAAAAATTAATCCAAATCTATGAAGATAACCAAGAATAATTTGCCAAACAATTTTCAAATTCAACAAAAACATATCCGAAATTGTCAAATACGCAAACTCTGAAAATATTGCAAGAACTAAATTCCATATAATCACATGATAGAAGATCAAATAACCCAAAATTAAGAATTGTTAAAACCTTAATTTCTCAAAGATTCAACAGTGGAGTGCTCTGATACCATTGTAGAAATTGAAAATGAACTAAAACTTTTATCAAACCCTTTCATATGCATGTAAATCCTCCATGTTGAAATCAAAGAGAAGATTAGAAGCGAAAGCATACCTTGATCCATAGATATGATTGTTTGAACGGGTTATAATCTTCCAATTGATGCGTAATTTCTTAGAAAATTCTTCTCTATCGATGGGGATGCAGAGAAATGAAAATCACATTCAATTGGGACAACGACCCATGATAAATAAATGTATATGGCAGTTATTATCTTTCAGTTATTTTAAATTGGCTCCTCATCAATTTAAAATAATCATGTCGGTCTCTACACTTTATTTTCATGACATTAATAGTTATTATCCAAAGTTAAATTTAACGGATCACTTTATTGACTAAGCTTTAAAATAGCATCACACATTTTAATATATATAGATGAATGTCCCCATACGTTGGAATTTTTTCCAATAGATCAGAGTGCCTTTCACATTTCCTTTCTCATTTCCATTTTTGTTCAACGAAACTAGTTGTTGGACTCGAACCCTGGATCTTTTTTTGGGTGCTGCCAAATTTGTGAAAGGCATGTTTTACATGATGCGTTTCTTTAAGTGATTGCCCTACTTGGATGATTGATACGTAGCCTTATCATGGCCGTTGGCCTATGATACTGGAAGCTTCTGTATCTGGTGACCCTTCATTTTGTTTGAGACTCTTGGCTTGTCATTTGGTTTTGAGACTCTTGGTTTGAGAGAAATATCTCTCTAGTTTTTCATTAGGGTTTTCTTTTTCTTTCTCAAATTCCTGATTTGAGATTTGTAATCTGTGTGATGTAGTCCCTAACGTGTCATATTCTAAGTGAATATCTATGAGAACAAAGGTTCTAGTGGAGTCGATATTTCTCTAAGTGTTTGGTGAAGTTTCTTGGTGATTCTTTAAGATTTTCTGGAGTTCTTTGAGAGATAAGCGTTTTGGCTCTTTATCTCTTTGTATTGGGTCAAATCTTTGTAAATTTTGTTAACAATTTGAGTTATCTTGTGCAACTGAGTGGAATCCATATTATTGGATGCTCAACGGGGATGTAAGCATTGGAAGTGGTCATCGAACCTCGGAGGCTTAAGCAGAAATAATTCTTTGTGTTTATTCTTTGATTTTCTGCACTTTTACTTTCAACAATTCATTTATCTTTGCGACTCGAATAGTAATATCGTGTGATCTTTGGTGCTACAGTGGTATCAGAGCCATTTTTGAGGAGCAAGATACTTGGATATTGGAGAAAGTTGTTCGATCTGGACTAGATATAAATCTTTGGAATTGCTGTTAAGCAGATTTGAATGAAAACGAGTTTTTCAAACTCGCTAGGTGAGATCTTTTACTTTTTAGTAAAGTTTAATTTTCAGAAATTAGGGTGTCTGGTTTTTCCCTTGATTTACCATACACAATTGCCCCCCTTGAGACTAATCTTTGTCCAAAGGCTTTTCTGAGGCCTTGGGAATATGAGATAAATCAAGTACAAGCATATACTTGGCGGATCTTGAAGGAGATACTTCAGAGACATCACTGTGTGAATTCTGTTATTGTGTTTTCTTTAAATCCTGACTTGCATGTTTTTGTTAGTGCATGAAATTTGCAAAATCTTGTTTTACTGCGTGTACTACAATGATTTGTGTTAAATCAACTTGTGTTTTTGTTGCCTCTTTGCAATTTTGTAAACTTATCTTAAAACATTTGACTCATAACTTGATAACAATATTGAAACTGCTAAGTTTGAGGTTAATTAGCTTGATGGAAAATATGACTTTAACATGTGAAGTCAAAAGTGAAGGCTATTTTAATGCAAATGAGGTGTGTTAAGGCACTAGATGATAGTTGGCCTGCTGAGTTAGCCCCTGCTAAGAAAGCTGAACTAGAAGAAATGGCTTTGAGTACTATTTTTTTGTACTTGTCTAAAAATGTTATAAGAAGCATTGGTGAAACAAAAACTGCTTCGAAATTGTGGACTAAACTGGGTGATAATTATGTGACAAAAACTACTCCAAATAAATGCTTCTTGTTAAAACAATTTTTTTTCTTTTAAAATGGTTCCCTCAGTTGACTTGGATGAAAATTGGAATAGATTTACAACACTTACCCCAAGACTTGGCCAATTGTGATGAAGAACTTTTAAAAGCTCAGATGGCTGTTGTCTTGTTAAACTCCATTAGTGATAAATACAAGGACTTCAAAATTGCTCTGGAGTATGGTAGAGAAGAACTCACTACTGATGTTATAATTAATTCCTTAAGGAATAAGGCTCTAGAGATAAAGGCAGAGTCTAGTAGTAATCAAGATGGAGATAATCTTCTTGCGAGAGGAAAAGCTTTTGGTAAATCTAATCATCACTCTAACCCTTATAATGATAATTACAAAAACAGATTGAGTGATAAAAACAAGTCTAAAAGTAAAACTAAAGGAAAGAAGTGTTATTATTGTGGAAAACAGGGCTACTTTGCTAAAGATTGTTTTACAAAGAAAAATGATCTTAAAGAGAATAAGTTTGATGATGGGAGTAATTCTTAAAGCTGAAACTGGTTTAGTCCTTGCCAATATGGAAAAACGACTGAGTGATGAATGGATATTAGACTCAGGTTGTTCTTTTCATATGTGCTCAAATAAAAATTGTTTCCTTGACTTTGAGAAAACTAAAGAGGGATAGGTTATAAAGGGAAATAATTTTACCTTTAGAGTAAAAAAGAATAGGTACTATTAAATTGTTACTAGATAATGGTAATGTACTTTTCTTAAAAGGGACTAGGTATGTTCCTGATTTAAAGAGGAACTTGGTGTCCTTATGTATGTTGGATGACATGGAGTTTAACATAAATATGGGTTAAGGACACATCAAAATTTTTAAGGGCAATGATTTACTTATAAGCTCTCCTAAGAGACGTGGTCTTTATTTTTTAAGTGCAAAACCCTAACTTAGTCTAACTGCTTCTGCAATATCTGAAAACTTTACACTTGCAAAATTATGGCATAATAGACTTAGCCATATTGGCAAAAGGGGTCTAAATTTTCTACAGTCAAATGGAGTTTTTGGAAAGATAAATCTTGGTGATTTTGGTCCTTGTGAACAATATATTATAGGGAAACAGATCAAACTACCTTTTCCAAGAGCAACCCGTAAATCTAAACAAATTCTTGAATATCTGCTGATTTATGGGGACCTGTCGTTGTGAATACTTTATCTAGCTTTAGATATTTCTTATTGATTATTGATGATTTTTTAAGAAAAATATGGGTTTTCCTGTTAAAACATAAAGATGAGACCTTTTTAGCCTTTAGTGATTGGAAGACTCAAGTTGAATACCAAACTGATCACAAAATAAAAATCTTAAGGACAGATAATGGTTTAGAATTTTGTAATAATGAGTTCCATAATTTCTGCAGAGAACATGGTATTTTAAGACACGGAACGGTTACCTATATTTCTCAACAAAAGGGTATAGTAGAAAGAATGAATAGGACTCTATTAAATAAAATTAGATACATGTTGTTGCGTTCTGGATTGCCTAAACTGTTTTGGGGTAAACCTGTCAAAACTGCTGCCTATCTAAGTAATAGAAGTCCTACCAGAGCCTTAAACTTTAAAGTGCCTTAATCTGTTTGGTCAAATAAATCTATGAATTATTCCTACG